TTGGGAAAAACATATCAATGATTTATCCGCACGTTTATTTAGGAATATTTTCCTACTGCGTAATTTGGATAGTGTAGTAAACTCATGTCTGTATATTGTGGTACTTTTCATGCCTCCATGACTTATCTAATTTTGAACTGGGGTCATTTGTCTCACAGTGTATTAGAATTATGGCTGGAATAAAATACTGAGATGATTGTCGGGAGTACTTCAAACAAACACATATTCACAATGCCATCAGTTTACATACTGGAATGCCTCATTTATATAAAAAATAATTAGAATATATTTGTTCGACAAAAGAAAATTTTAATTTCCACCATGCAAGAGCGAGACACAATATTAGACCAAAATTTCATAGATTAGCGAAATCCAGAGATGGCACAAATTATTTTGTCATTAAATTCTTTAATAGACTTCCATCTGAGATTCGATCACTAAATTCAGACTGTTTTAAGACCAGAATTAGAAAATATCTTAAAAGAATAGTGATTTACAATTTTGATGAGTTCTTTGCTGACCAGTTTTTAGATATATAATGAATGTTAGTAATATGTACTTTTGTATGTTGTTGACGTTATATTTATCTGAATGTGCTTTTAGCTTTAGTGTAGTATTGCTTATATCTTGTATCTTTCGTGTTTTTCTTTCTTTCACTTGTGTAAACATTTTAATATATCGACACCAATAAATGATTTGATTGTAGAAAAATTGTATTAAACCAAAAATTTTATGTTCCTATTAAAACTTAATACCAATATATTCCTGTACGAAACTAGAGTATGACAATGGTTAAAAAAATATTTTGTAGACACTTATTTTGTTTTTCATAGCCTACTTTAATAGTAGGCGATTGGCAATTATTTTTCTGAATGGAGCGACACGTATTTTTATAAGTACTCCATTTTTTCTATGAATTCAACGATACTTATATTATGATAACTTGATTTTCCAATGCATGGAATAACATTATGTCTGATTTGATGATTTTCATCATATTAAATTGAATCGACATTTAATTAGGAAGCCAATGTTTGTGGAATATACGTTTAAGCTTAAAGGAATATTCGTCGTGTCCCTCTATGTTGATTTAATTATTTTCATGGTACATACGACAGTGTTGTTGGTACGCTTAAATTAATATTTACGAATATAATATTATTTGTAAAAGCCGAGGTAATAATCAGTTTGGTGGATTCAGAAAAACATTCTGTACCAAGAGTAATACAAAAAATATATCGTTCCATAAAAAAAAATTAATTAAAATATATATATGTATAGTAAATATCCGTCTTTAGTAGTTCTTGTGTTTCCTAAAATCAGAGCAAAAATGGCAGATTTATATTTGGGGGTGTTTTTACGAGAAACCTGGTAAATCCTGTAGACGTCAAAGTAAGCTTAACTGGATGAAAATTTAATTTTTAAGAGTTTTCAAAGTTTTAGTGAATATAGACTCAATGGTATCACGTCTAGAAAGATCTGAATACAATCGCATTGCGGGAAAAGTAGTTGTTTGTGATTTGTGTATTAGTGAACATAAAGTTTTGAAATTTAATTTCTCGATTTAACAGATTTAACAGTTGCTGTTCGAAAAAACAAAATATTTTGGCACAATCTTGTAAAATAGGTAGAAAAACAAGGTTTTTGGTATTTATTTCAGTAAGAAATCGTTTGTAGTATCTTAAGAGAAACTTATTTATTCAGTTTAAAGTTTTTTATAGTATCTTAATAGCAGTTCAACTTACAGCAGATCCAACTTTGTATTTCAGCATGGTACAATCGGTAGAAGTGATAAATGTTTCTAAATGTTTAAAATATTATCTTTACAAAGAGTAAGATCATACAAAACAATAAACTGTGCTACTGAGTAGATTTATCTAAACGCTCTGTGTATTTATCTGTTTTACTTATAATTTTTCTCATTTTGGAGAATTACAGAAGAACCTGAAAACTGGCCCTGTATAAATATACCTTAATAAGTAGTATGAAAATGTGGAATATGAAAAAACATTCAAAGATTTAAAACCTATCACCGAGAAACATTTTACCTGTCGATAAAATATATCGGCGACGGCTGCGGATAGAGCTAAACGTTTTTAGGAAAATCTGGAATAAGCCATAAAACTTCCTGTTAAGCTCTGCTATCGTTAAAGCGGCCCGGCTAAGTTTATCCCTAAAGTCCTGGAAGATCCCGAAGAAATACAATAATGTATTCTTGCGGCTAGATAACGACTTCTATCGACTTCAACCTTCATAAAACCGTGCTGAGCTCTTATTGTAATATATATTGCATTTCTCCTAAATGCAATTCCAAGAAAATCAATGGCGATTTGCGTGAGCAAGGTTGATTAAGAAGAAACGGGTGCATAAGAAATCAAACTACATGTTTAATGTGTATTTGTACTAAGAAAAGAATATAATTGCATATATATTAATTGGCTACACACAGAAATTAAGGGATATTTAAAAAATCCCAAAATTCTGGATGATTTTCAAAGAGCTGTAACTTGGAGGGAAATGGTCGTAGAGAGAATAAAAAAAAAGGAAATTGAAGCTTCAAGTGTCTAGTTTTCGGATCTGGTGTTAAAAATCTTTCAGCGTCAGCAGTTTTTGAGTAATCATAAGAAAATCAACGAAAAAAAATTGTAAATTTTTGCCTTTCTTTAAAAACACCTATGGACTAATTTTTTTTTGGTAATTTCACCATAAAGCTCTTTTAGATAATTTAATTCTCTTCAATTTGAGCGGTTCCGGAGCCTTCTATGATGATTTGTCGATCACAAATTTAAACATTCCGGGCACTAAGAAAAAAAATCGCAGCGTTTTGAAATTATTAGGGTTTGTGAAAGAAATTTGATTATTTTCAGATTACCATTATAGAAATACAATTAATATTTACCTAAACCAACCTATCGCAATTTAAAATTCAATATAATAGGGAAAATGCTTATAGAAGTGCAATAAACGCAAATTATTTACTGTCGTTATTGTATCGTTTACATAATATTTACAGCAATATTAAATTATGAGTGTGAAAAATAATCTAAGGATATGTCTCAGGATTGTGAAGAGCCTTAAAGTATGTAATAAATCCCATTTCATTAAGTTACTTAATTTATTAACACTTTTTTGTATTTATACGTTATATATTTGATTTATGCGAAAACAGAAATGTGAATATATGTTTTATTTTTATACATCAGTGTGTTATTTGAATATTTTATGAAATAAGTAAATAATTAATGTTTTTTTCAATATTTCCAACAAAATCAAAAGAAATTTATATCATTAAAAGAGTACGAAAAGTATCGGTCAAGGAATTGTATTTATAAATTTAAAAATATCGCACGGTGAGAAATCATCACAATGATTGAGCAAAATTAATTTATTCCAAATATCAAATTTGCAAAAATGTAACTGAATTCGTAAAAAATATACTTAGTACTATTAGAGAATCAATTTCCAAAAAAAATTGTTTATAGAACTTTTGAATCCACAGAAAATAAAATTAATTCTCAAAGACAAAGACAAAGATAAAACGTCGACTATTACAGTAAAAATATCCTATATTTAAGTTTATCTCAAATATGAAAAATGATTCACAATAGATTTAACAGTTTTTCACATCGGTAATACGTTACGAACAATTTTATTAAAAACTCCATCAGAAATTGAGGTACAAAATTCTAAAGACTGCATTTATAGTATATGTTATAAATATTGATTGTTATAAATATTTATTTTATCTGTTAGAATCGGAGAACATATTAAAAAAGAAGAGTTTAAAAAATCGTAAGTTTGCGACCATTGGTACAAACCGGTCATTTTGTTCACTGAAACGAAACAAAAATTTAAGAAAATAAAGTAATTTGGTGACAACTAATAGTCTCAACGTTTATTTTCAATAACGCTGATTAATATGTTAACTCTTGAATTTTTATAGTTGTTAGTTTAATATTCTCAATGACGAGGTAAGTAACAACAGAATAAATATTACATATCATATATCTCTATGGAAGGTAGATAAACAAAGCAGAAAAACATGTTACTTTCGAGTTCGTGTTAATTTGACTTTTGAGAAGGAAAACGAAGAAGTTTTCGAAAAGTTACTAATATAGAAATGAACAAAACATACATTTCAAGGCGCAATACTTTATTAAAATTTTTGTTCGTAACGTTATTTGTTAAATAAATACCCTCTATGTATGTTTATTGTAGAATTTCTGATGTAGATACACAAACTTAACCTGACAATGTATTTAAGATTATTTAGAATGAATACAATTTCGTATAATTTTTATAATGGGCAGTTTTATGTTTTATAATCTTAAAGAAGTAAATACTTAAAAAACTAACAGAAGCAAAAACAATAACTTTTAAAAGAAAATTGTTGGATTATTTTTTTAAATCATGATTTACATCAAACCTAACTACGAAAAAAATATAAATTACATTTTTGTCACTAATATTAAAGCGCTATGTTTGAAATTAAAATGCTGAAAAAAAAATTCTTAATTGAAGCATAATTCTAAAAATATTTAAATAAATCTAAAGGTAACCAAGAATTTTTATTTCCTCCAGTTTGTATTTATTTTGTTTATTTTGTTTTCTATATGATTATTATTTTAGTGAAAATCCGAAGTAAATATTCAAATGTTAAGCATTTGAAAAATAAAGACGCTTATGTCAGAACTACCACTCGGTATATTTTGTGGCGCCAAAACCGCAGCGCACTTGGAACATAAATAATTAGATAGGTACCAAATAAAACACGCAACCTCAACTTTATAATAAATCAAACCCTCGAAACAATACCCTTTCGACACTAGTGAACATCCCACCTCAATAAAAGCTCGTCAATGGTGCCGCTCCTGACAACACAACTTTATAAATACTATTATAACCACGCGTCATTTAAATTCCCCACCAAATCCTGCCCTTCATGCTTTATTTTTAAATAAATTTCACAAAGTAAATTGGAAGAGATAGACGGAACTTACCTATTTTACAAAACGGGAAATTACCGCTCACTAGATTAACTGAACTTTATGAAACACTCACTTTCCAGTTAATTTCAAGGATGACTTGATTACGGTACGCTACTGCAGTTGTCTCGATCCATACAGACATTCAGTTATATGCTCGGTGTTCGCCTTGAGTCGGCCAGGATCGTCCACGATCGGCGGGGGATGTGTGTAGGTGGCCATGTTGGTTTGTCCACAGGAAGAGCTTTTATAGACACGCGGCTCGTTGTTGGTTCTTCAGATCAAAATTTTATTTGATGTAAATTTAAGTAAAAAATTATACGTTTTGTGAAAAATTTGTAGGACGTTCTTATTTAAAACGTACTTTGCGATGTAATTTGCAAGATAAATCCTAATGTCATTTATAAATAAATTAAACGAGTTTGTCATATCCATTTAATTGCACATTTTTGTATGAACTAGTTTATACAGGGTGATTTGCAACTAATAAAAAAAATGGGTATATACAGTGCTATTTTTCTAAAACCTGACATAGGCCAACTTTTTTATTTGAAGTGATAGACTAGTACTTCCAAATGCAAAGTTGTAGGAAATAACTTGATTAAGAAAAAATTATAAATAATTATTTCGGTGTTGCCAGATTTCAGCAGTAGCTACTAAAAGGGTATTTTTTTTAAATGGCAATACCGTATTTTTTTAACATAATTTGGCAAACCTTTAATTCTAAATAAAAATATTATGTCACATTTCTTTATTGGATTAGCCTTTTTGGAACAATCAGCAAAAATAACGAAAATAATCTGCAGTTGGCAGGAATTAAAAGAAGCTAACACAGCAATAGTAGGCCTTGGATATTAAACAAAAATTGTGTTGTTTGAAAGGAGCTATCATTATTGTTTGTCATTGTGTTATTTGAAAGCTGTTAAAATAACGTTTATAACAGATGTTCAGTTGACCTGCGGCGCGGTCGTTGACGGCAGCGCGATGCTTGAGAAGAGAGAGTCAGTTAATCCAGAACCACCGGCGAGTCGTCAAGTGTTTTCCGCGTAAAGACTATACTTTCCATAACTATAAACTTATAAACTTTGTAACCTTAAATAAACAAATAAAAATCATGCAAATGGCATACGTTTTAATTCAGTTGCGAAGATTTTCAGCCTTTTGCAGATCCTACCAATTTTTTTCGGTATTACTTCTTAAAAACTCTGGCTTTGGAAAGCTTATCGGGATGTCCTGCTTGCGTGGAATTCAGTGCACGCATTGCGTATACTTAAGCCACCAACATGAAAAGAAATTAATTCAACTTTCTCGTTTTGATTACATAACTGATTTATCTTAGCAACTGAATTAAAACGTTATTTTTATACACATTCAAATACAACAGCTTTCAAATAACACAATGAGAATAAAATAATGACAGCTCCTTTCAATCAACTCAATTTTTGTTTAATATCCAAGGCCTACTATTGCTGTGTTAGCTTATTTTAGTTCCTGCAGACTGCAGATTATTTTCGTTGTTTTTGCTGACTGTTCGAAAACGGCTACTCCAATAAAGGAATGTGACCATAACATTTTCTACTTAGAATTTGAAAGTTTGTCTAATTATGATAAAAAAATACGGTGTTGCCATTTAAAAAATATCGTTTTAGTAGCTACTGCAGAAATCTGGCAACACCGGAAAGAATTATTTGAAAACTTTTCTTAATCAATTCATTTCCTACAACTTTGCATTTGGAAGTATTAGTCTATTACTTTAAATAAAAAAGTTGGCCTATGTCAGGTTTTAAAAAATAGCACTGTATATGCCACTGAAAATAACACATAACCACAAAAATGATAAATAAAATGAGATAAATAATGTTCATAAAATACACATACGTACGTTTGAGAACATAATGTCTGCGATTGACTTCTAAGAATGGCTGTTTTTTCGAAATGATTTACCTCTAACTATTCCACAACGAATGTGGTTCTTGCATGATGCTTAGGTTTTCCACAAGTTGTTTCAAATTACCTTAGTGAGGCTCACGTAGTATCTAAAGTGGATTGGACTAGCATGTCCACCGCGGTCTCCTGCGTTAAACCTTCCTGACTTTTTTTATAGTGACGTGTTACCGCCGCTATAGCAATAATAAGGAACATTTGTCTTGGTTCTCTAAACTGGATGTATTGTGCCTAAATGTGTTTATGTGTCGGTGGAAAAAATATTGAATGATTGTTGTGACAGCACGCAAGTACTATTTTTTTTTATTCAAATAGAAATCTGATTTAATTAATAAATGTAATAAAAACAGTAATTAAATTCGCTAAATTGAAATAGCTGTAATAAAATTATATTTATTTATTGCCTCCATAAATTCCTTTTGCGTTTTGTGAATGCGTAAACTTTTTGTAGGTACACCTCGATTGACTGTGCATACATTGCTGCAGGTCAGATCGACTAAATTCCAGTGTCGTGTAGATAAATAATTTTTTAAATAATTTTTGCGTCCTTTCAGATTTATCAGTCAGTTGAACATGTAGCCTAGCAATATAATTTAATGAGATTCATAGCCGTCCTTAAAAAAGATTTCTGCTAAAGGTAAAAAATAATAATAATTTGAATATAATGTGTAGAAAATTTCTATTATATTATGTTCATTTAGCCAACAACATGTTTTAATTATTTGTCCTCAAATAATTTTATTAAATTGATGACAAATTTTGGTTGACATATCAAAAAACATTTACCACATTTTCATTAAAATATGTTACTGTTCGGCATTGATGCACTGCATTGCTAGGCAATTTGTCAACAACTGAAATTTATGGTTGGTCGCCCAGTGCGGCTGTGTTTATGCGCCGTTTGCTGGCGCGCGCCTTCTTCAACTGGGCGTATACATTTCTACTACCTCTACGTTTAGTTCGACCAGACCTTTATATGGCTTTGTATGGCTAAATAAATATGGGAACAAGTTTTTCAAATATTTCAATGCTGAGTTGCTGCGTAGCGACTGAACCTGGTACATAGTGCCTAGCTCTTTGGTCTTCAATTAAGATCGGAAAGACTATACAGCAGCATTCTGTTCATTTTAATAACAAAATCGTAGCTACAGATGTGGATAGTGATTTTAAATAAATGGTGGGTTCAAATTACTTTTGTACGATGCTATTGCAGTATGGTCGGACGCCTTGAGTTAGTCAATTGCTTTTTTTCTCAAACACAAAGCTATCAGCCCTTGATCCGTAAACACCCTCTTTTTTCTAAGACACCTCATAGAAAGAAAATAACTAAACAACTAAATCACCAGATCTCTGTACTATTGCTTTAAAGAGCGCTAAAAACGAAATCATTATAATGCTAATTACAAATTTTTCTCTCATTATTTACACCTTAATATTCTCTTTTTCTTGTCTCAAAAATAAGTTTTTTTACCTTTTTCTGTGTTTTTTTTAAATTAGCAATGTTTCGACATGTAAATGTGATATTCGCAATGACTAGGTTACACCATGACTAGGTGACTTTTAGTGTTTTTGTTCGTTTAATTTAAATTATATATTGTTTTCCTAGTGCGGATAAACAAGAAATAAAGTCCCTATATTGTTTTTTTTTAAGGGATTATCCAATTTTGTACATGTGCTAAATCATTGTTGTGAAATGCTCACAAATTAATAGAAATCATTTAAGAAGGCGGAAAATTAAACTTGTTTTTATTATTTCAAAATATCTCAGAAATTGTTCAAATACCAATTTTTGCATTTTCAAAAATTTCGTGTACCTTTAAAGTCTATTAAATTCAATATATATCTTTTATTATTTGGATAATTCAGGGGGTATTAAAAGAATGAAATTTTTATAAAATCTGGTTTAATCAAATCAGTTCGTCCTTTCCAAAAAAGTTTATCAATTTTCGTCTATTTTTCTAAGGTTAGCTGTACTCCTACATCCAAGGGATGAGCATTTGAAACTCTGGCACCTATTCCATCAATGATGTAATGATTTTCGGTTGCATTCGCTAACGGGATTTGTCAGGCCGAGCGAGTCTAGTCGAATATATGCGCCAAACGTCGATGCACCATCTAAACGTTTTGTTGGCTCTGTTCGTAGTTGATGACAATCGCTTCATTAATTATTTATGAATGTCGATTTTGCATATATTAGTTTTTCCTACTCGCCGGGGCGTGAATTCAAAAAGGGTATTTTTCCGAATAAAGTAGGTGAAAATTACATTTGTTAATTCAAGAGTAAAGTTGTTTACGTCAGTTGTACATACGTGTTTTGTTTTTCTTTTAAGTTGGATTCGCAGCTTGTTTGAAACTTATTTCACTGGCGCCTTCGCCATATTTTAAAATAGAATGATGGCATTCATGTTAATGCAGTTTGTAAAGTCAAATTCATTTCCAAATCATGCATTATTCCTAGCATTATTAATTAAAACTGCTGTTCTTATGGAAAATGTCTTAAATTGCATTAAAATGTATTTGAAGGGAGTTTAAACTTTGTTCCCGTTGTTTGATTGTCGCACCCACACGCCTCTGATTAAGCTTGAGGCTGTCGCTATCATTTGATGGGCTCCGTGACATATTTCGGTTTCTGGCTTCACCGTTGAACTTTCTAGGAGCGAAGAGCTTCTCTGAAGGCGATCCATATGTTCGTCTTGCTTATCGTTTCGGCCAAGAATAGAAATTTTTGTCTCAAGAATCAGATATGAAGTTCTGAGCTTTTTCACTCTACTTTCGAATCACTATGTTGTTTTACTGACTCTGGACTTACTTACATATTTTTTTGCACAATCAATCTTTTTTTGTTCACTTACCATGTTTGTTTCTACGACAGTAGTACGCCCTTACTGGTAACAAAGCGGTAAGTAATTTCCTTACCGTTCTAGAACGGTAAGTACATAATTGTCAAAATAGACATTTTTGACATCGCATTGATTTGCAATGGGTTTTCTAGAATTCAGTTTAAAATTTAATTGATTTAAAAGATTAGTATAGAAAGTATTTTAAATCTATTTATTGATATCGAAATTAAATGTGCAACGTTTACAATTATTACTTATAGAAATTGGAACGGTACATGTTTTTTCGATTTCAGTTTCAGTTATATTTCTATTTACAGTAAGCAATAAATTTCAAAAGATTTAAAATAAATCTGCTTCGCAAATTTATTCAAAAATGTCATTTTTGACATTACGTAAAAAAAGCTTCGTTTTCATTTATTTCGATCGTGCAAAAAATTGTATAAGCATCACGAACGTTAAGGATTATACCGTTCTCAGACAAACATTGTCTTCGAACGGTCAATTACCCTTACCGTTCTTAATACTTAACATATTATGGTACCCTTTCCCTGTTTTTTCTTTGCCACTAAGCACATATTTTTGCCGCAGATTTGGGTAACAGTGTGAATGGCTATACGTCTCTTCATGCGCAGCAAAGAAATAATGAGTAATTACTTGATTAAAATTGGAAGGTGCAATTCTTTTACAATTAACTGAAAAAATACTTTTGTATGTTTCCTTTTTACTAAATACTGTCTTTTTCCTGTGTTAAATATTAATTTGTATTTTACTTATTACGATAAATGAAGAACCAGGTGTACAAGTAATAGTTTGTATTTTCAAAATAACAAAACATGTATTTAAAAATAAAAATTTGAAATATTATTTTAATCAAACACACTCAGGGTGTTATAAATTAGCTTCAGTTTGTTGTCTGATCCAGTTAATTATTTATACACAACTTTAGAAGTTTTAACTTATCAGAACAGAACATGAAGTATGATGTGTGTTTAAAAATAAAATCGTCAATTGGGTATAGTTTTGCTATGATAAATTATTTACTTCGACTCTAAAATGTGGAAATACTGTTATCATAAAGGATATATTATTATAAGTGACTGTTATAAGTATAAATTAAAAGAAAATGATCTTTGTTGATTTGTAGAAAATATATAGTTTATTCAGAGATAGATATAGATACTTCTCAATTAATTCTTCCTTTATCTTTATCCTCATGCTCATCTTCATCCTCATCCTCATCCTCATCCTCATCCTCATCCTCATCCTCATCCTCATCCTCATCCTCATCTTCATCCTCATCTTCATCTTTATCTTTATCTATGCAATTCAAGATCTTTCTTCGAATTTTTGTTTATGCTATTGAAATTTCAATTTAAAGCTTTTATTTTTTTATATTCATACCAGAAATTCAATCCTTTTTTTGTGTTCTTTAGCATTTAGCATAGGTGGGTGTTGTATTTTAGCATTTATTATATATTATTAAGTTGCACTGATAATGAGTTTCTTTCCTTTTTTATTGTTGTTTTCTTTCTAGTATTTTATATTCTAAATTATTAATTACTGTTCTACGCTTTTTTCCTGTTTTTATTTATTTCTTTTGTTTACATGTTTATTTAATTTTTTCGTGGGCTTTCACTAGTAGAACAATATTACATGCGGTTTGCTTTTATTTATATTCTACACTGGAAAAAAAATACACTTAAATTCACTCAATTTTACTCAATCTGTCAACACCCGATTGATTCAAATTTTCACTCTATTAGTATGAGTACAACTAAAATTATATGAGTGAAACTATTGCAACAGAAATGAGTGAATTTTACTCAAATCCGAGTTTCTGCTAACTATCAAGTGAGTGACTTTTGACTCTATTTTGAGTATGTAAAACCAATTAAGAGTTGACTTGTTCTCTAATGATTTATATTTAACTATTATTAAGTAATTTTGTATTATGAAAATTTCTATGGGTGGCGGCGCCCCAGAGTCCCCCCCGCACTAGCCGCCGTTGCTTCCATTTCATTAGTATCTAGAGTGGTTTGGCACCACTTTATACTCTCTTTAAATTTGAATTAAAATATCATTGTATAAAAGTCACAAACTATTAGGCCGCCACATTGGTTTCTACACAGATCTGTTTTAGATGCAATATTTTAGGTTTCGATTAAAGGAATTGGTTAACGATTGCCATAACCTATATTGTACCTTACAAACACGTAAGTATTATAGGTAACAATTTAATTATGCTTTTATTTAACCCAATATTAATCGGGACTCAATATATGATTGTTTTTAATTATTGTAATCAAACAACTGCATTTAAACATAATTTTCACCAAAATAGCCGGATTAACGGATACTTGTCCAGCACTACACGCCATACACCACGCCACGAGATGACCTAATGGGGACGATGGGAATAGACAAAGACAACGCACGACAACCATGGAATGGGGTGGGGTCACTCAGTAATGACCAAATACGAGTTTATTTGCCGAATTTATTTAACGGGTACTTATATTTGAGTGAAAGTACTCAGTTTTATTTCAAATATTATCACAAATGAGTAAAATTATCAAAATGCTCAGTATCGAGTGAAAATATAATCAAACATTTTACTCAATTGATTCACTCTGTACCTTTATTGTTTTCACTCACACCGATTTTTTTACAGTGCAGTATATATTAATACTCAGTTATTGCTTAACCTGTTCTACGTTTTTTATATGTGTGTGCTTTACTTTAACATTTTCTTTTTTCTTCTCTTTTCCATACCATTTTCCTGATATTGCCCATTTGTCTGAACTATATCACTACTTTCTCTTACATGTGCTTTTTATGGCTTCAAGCGGGCTTAAAGTTCCCGTTATTTCTCTTTACATTTTAAAGTTTTCAGATTTATCTCGCTCCATTCAACTGTGTTACTCCATTTACCTGTTTCATTAGTTTTGTTTATTCTATTATATGTAAAAACTCAACGCTTTTTGGGTAAATCTTATTATTAATGCATTTATTGCATTATCATTTTAAAAGTTGGTTTATTTATTCAGCCAATTATTATTGTTAATTTGTTTGTGTTCGTCCAGCATATGATTATGCACGTGCATTACATGCCAACTAAAATTTCATGTCCTGCTGTTATTTCATGCGTTTTGTAAACAGAAAATATTTCCATTCAGCTTGATTTAAAGCCAATGGAAATGGAATGGAATATTAATTTGAAATAAATTACCACTGTTTTAAATTATGTTATTTATAGACATATTTAATTGGAATTCGATATATTTCTGTAATGCAGGGTTTATTGGAGATATGATTTATATGTCCCATAAATTTTATAGGAATCTGTTAGCTATGTACGTACATAGACGGTAATCGATGTAGCAGTTACTGCCATCCCTCTAATACACTGTACTAATTTTAGAAGAAAATTGCATTGTGCTTTAAATTTTCATAAAAATAGGTTCAGTTTTTGTGCCTGCAAAAATTATCAGGATTCTGTTTTAACGTCTTTAGAGGTGTGTATTTTAGAATATTTATAGTAAGTGTACTAGAAAGATGCAGATTTTAAATTTAAATTTAAATCTTTCAAAAATGAGTCATGTATATTCTTCATGTTTTTACGTATTTGTTATCAATCGTAGTACAGTCCTAATGCGACAGAAAATAAAATTTATACATACAGAATATCTGAAAATGTTACATTAAGATATCAGAATTTAGAGCAATCTCTTTGAATATGACGATTGCGCCATTGTTGGAGCTTGTATAAATACCCTTCCCTTTATGTTGAGTCCAGAAACTTCAAGCTAGTTTAGAGAGATAAAGGGCATACATGTTTATTGTCTTTAGGCGATCTTGTTTTCAGTAGGCGTATACTATGTAGTGTTTTCCTAAGACATGTCTGTGTTATCCTGAATAATACAAATAAACACTACCTAGACTATATTACCCGCAGGAAAATTATGTGTGTTCGAGTTTTTATTCTTGTCAGTTTAGTGAGTTTGAATGGTTAAAGATCATAGATAATATTTTAAAAATCGTATAAATAACATTGCACCTTTAGCAACTTTAATCTTTTTTTATATTTTTATAATATCCTGTCGGTATTTTGACACATTTACTGAATTTGTTGAAACATTTTTAAGTGACGTTTGCAAATCGACGATCGGTAAATGATTACTTACCGATCAGAATGCGGTAAGTAATAATAAATGTAGAATTTTAAAAATCAGTTTTTATTAAAGACAAAATTAAAATTGCAAATTGAACAATTATTAAAATTTATTGGAGCAATATAATTCGGGTTTAAAACAACGTTCTCTTCTGATGATGCTATACTTACTGCATATGTTGTAATAACACTCTGGGCTGAGATATTACTGTTTGTCACCGTAGAGTTTCCTCGAGAATTTCCATGTAAAATTTTGTCTGAAAGTTTATTTTTATTTTCCACAGCTACAGAGGACGAACGCCACCCACCGTACCTTTTAAGGCCAAAAATATCTATTCCTTGGTTTGCGAAAGTAAGTTTGGTATAAGTTGAGGGATTCGGGAATTTTAATCACTGTGCAGTTTTACTGCCTATGGTATTTCTACTTCGTCTCGATCTCCAAACGTATCCTCAACCAGTAAAGAACATTTACTGACGTTAACACATCTAGGACGTTATTATTTGGGCACGTAAAATATTTGTTGTTGGAAAAACTATTCTAATATTAAATTTGGTACCCATTTCTCTTCACTTTTCTATTAATACAGGAATATATGAAATTTTTATAATGTATGTAATTTCTCTTTGTTGTTTGACATAATTCGTTTTACCTCTCGTCACTGGATTGTTGAAAATTATTTCATTTTCTTGTTACATTTTGAGGGAACTTCACGGCTGAATATGAATGAATTGAACTGGGATGTATACCAAAAAATGGAAATAAATCGATTTATAGATGAGATAATTTAGTACAATCTTGCTTTCTAAATAAATTTGTTCATTTTCATCCATGTGAAATATAGTTCATCCGCTTCCGTACACCGTGTATTTTATAAAATTAACCTAGTCTACCTTTTCTATTATTGCAGGTGAAGAAAATATTGGTGAAAATTTACTTTTGTTGTTCAACAGTTTAAGACTTTTCGGTTGCTCCAATTTTTATGAAATTAAATCAAAACTTTCCGTAAAAATAATTCGGCACAATACTTTATGTTCTCTCTTCATTCGTATTCTTTGCAGGAAAACCTTGGCTCCGGAATATTACATTTAATTAAAACTCATTTAAACTGAAGCCTTGTCTAACCTAGATTTTACTCTACTATGTAAATTGCTCTTATAATAACATTAAATATAAATGTTTGCAACGTTCTATTTTTCAAACTTTTCCCTAGTGTTCTGTCGTTCAAACAATTTCTTAATTATTAAAAAGCGTTTACGCTTTTATAAAAGTTTTGAATGAACCTAAACTTGATCGCCTTCAAGTTAAAATTTGCGGAGGGATCAACTACCAAATTAGATTTTAAATTACGTTTTCTATTAAAAAGAGATTTGGGAACGTAACCAGACGTTTTTTTTTTCATGTTAAATTTCATTTTCCATTACTCAGATATTTTAAAGACTCCTACGTTTAGAAATCTTCAATTTTCATAACAGTTATGATACAAAATGAATCAGTTTTGCAATATTATGTACCTATCCAATTGTACCTAATGATAAATATTTTATAAAGTATCTTAAAGAAATCACTAGCTACGATCTTTCTCGGTGACATTTTAAAATACAATTTTTTTTTTTTAGGGTTAGGAAGAAGTAATTTTTTTAACTACTGGAAAAACGAGTTGGTGGAAAAATGCAGTTGATTGCGCCAAAATTAATCGATTCTATTTCTAAATACCGCTCTTCAAGAACATCCAGTCAAAGTATAGAAACGGGTACAAGAAAGAGGTATAAGATAAGAAAGTGTTAATGAATGGTCTCTATTACTCAATGCCTAGGCCTCCAATACGGTCACGCTGGCAGAGAGCTACCTGCTATTTTGCAGGTAATATGAAAACAAAATCTGCGTTGTTACTGTGCGAAACAGTTTTTGATTGTTGATATTGCGACTAACACCTACTCTGCGGACTAATATCTCGACCAACATTAAATTATCGCAATATCAGTCAAAAAAATATAGAGAAACCTTGGTGTGACAATTTTTAATTATTAAACGCAAAATTGTTATTAACAAGATCGTTTTCCAACATATTCACAATTTCACAGAACGTATAAAAAAAATCAATGAATTTTGGCTTTGTCAGGTACGTATTTTCTCGCCAGTTACATTTTAAAAATGAAGACTTTTTT